TTGCAGTTTCACTGTCCTTCATTGCCTCACTGCTCTACCACTGTCAAGTTTATTCTAATATGTTACGATTTCATATCAATGTTTTTTTTGTCTTTTCTGATGCTACCCTACACATCAATGAACACCAAGTCCCTGAACTTTTAAAAAGACACTTCACAAGATACAATATGGCTATTTATTTAACAACGTTGGTTGAGCTTTCACCACCTAATCATGAAGTAAACACAAGTCCAGCAGATAATGGTGCTGTTAGTACTAGTTTCCCATTTTTTGACCTTTTAATTGAAGACCTCGTAGGGTAATCATTGTACTCATACATTAGAACAGGTTGTGGATGGTCGTGTGTAAATCTTTAACTAGCTTTAGGCTGAACACGCTAAAAATGAGCCTAATTAACAAGGTAATTACAGACTGTGTTACTTACATAAAAATAAGCCGTTGATGTTCAGGCCTTGTTAGGAACCACAGATTAGAGGCCACTTTGTGTCGGTGGAATTGGTTGTTAAACCAAGCAATGTAACAGTAAATTCTGGAATGTCTCATTAACTTTAGGGGTGGGAGGTCTGCTCTTGCCAAACATATATCTGGCAGGATAAAACCAGAGCAGACAGGATGTGGGTATAAATGCATGACTTGGCTGTACCCAGTTCATACCCAGAGAGGTCTGATAGTTGGTCTTTCGGTGTGCTGAATAACACATAGAAGTACAACGTCAATGGAGAGATGGATAGAAAATCTGAGGTGAGGGCCGTATGTCTTTTGTTTTCCAAGTTATCCTTTATGAATTCTGCTAAACACCTTCTATAATGCACCGTTTAGCAAATGTGCCTTTTTCATTGTCTCGATTTAAATAGCATGGAACTGGGGTACTTGGTTATCAATATAATGAATGTACAGACCCAGACTCTCTTTATACCATGGACTGTGGATGGCTTTTAGCTGGTCTCTGGTGAACTGGCTTTCAAGTTAACTCTCAGGAACAATACAAATGCATTTTAGAAACTGTAACTTACAAAACCATTTATCACATACTTTGCCTTGTCTCTCGTCCCTCATTTATGTAATTATGTTTAAATACACTTCGCAGTTAACTCAGTGTTCTTGTGCTTCCTTTGACACTTGAAGACTCATCCATAAAACCCTTGCTTACCACTTAAAGCAGGTTTATGGACTTGCATATCTAAGACCATAAACCTGTAAAACTCTGTTCTCTAGCTGGTGTGTTCATATCGGTGTCATCTGTAAATTTCCTTTATTCAAGTAATCTGTAATACAAACCCTGTGGCATGGCAAATATTTAAGGCTCGTACTTTGTTCTTAAGTAATATCTTGTTCGTGATTTAAAATCCAAATCTTCTTTTAATCAATCTGTGATCAGCTTTAAGATCTTCTCTAGTCTCTTGTAATTGTGTATAGATACTCCTGATCTGTTTGGCTGTTTTTCTATATCTTGCTTTGCAGAACAATGTTTAATGTACTTTGTGTGTAGATATATAGACATAGATGTAGACAAACACACAGCTATACATAAGGTGTTGCCCTAGTGGTTGACATTATTTGATGAGGATCAGAAGCTCTCTTAAAGTGGACTGAAAACATGAAGTGCACAGCTGACCCCTATTGTGCATCCCCGCAATCCACATTCGGTGCACGGATGACTCTCTTCCGGAGTAATAGGCTAAAAAACTGTGGAACCAGCACACGATAATATTCCAAAGAAATGTAAACTTTATTTCACATTCCATATTGTGGAATAAAATGTAAATGTCTTTAGAAGATTATCGTGTGCTGGTTCCACGGTTTCTGAGCTCTCAAAGTGGACCTTGCAAAAAAAAAAATGTCAAGTCTCCACCCATCTATGTGAGGGTCACTGGGCCGCCTTTGCCGGAATCCTGGGAAAGCTGAGGATCCCACATCTCACGAAAAGACACTTCTCCACAGCCTTGGTGCAACTTTTTAACAAGATTTAATTTTTCTAACTGGCAATGGAGAACCTACAAGACAAGCCAATCTAGCATTTTGATGCAAGGTCTGCTATACGTTAATTAGTTTAAACTACTAGAGCTGATATAAAATGTGGTCGGTTCGCTGGTTCTAGTCTCTCTTTGTTTTTTTCGCAGCAGATCCAGTTTGCAGATCAGAAGAGGGAGTTTAACAAACGCCCCACAAAGATAGGGCGCCGCTCCTTGTCTCGTTCCATATCCCAATCATCAACGGATAGCTACAGCTCTGGTAAGTACAGGCGTAAGATCATCTCTTGAATTAGGTTTTCTCTTTTATCTCTTAGGATAGCTCATACTAAAACCTTAGTTAAAAAAGTGTATTCTTCTGTATGTTCTGCTAAAAAGAACAATTACCTTGAGTTGTGCAGTTCCAGAATACAGTGATGTGCTGTCTGTGCAGCAAATACTATCTCTTTCCTTATTACTAGAGGAATGTACTATATTGGAGGAAACTTCACAAGGCTCCTGGCTGTAGAAGGCGGCAAAACTGGAGGGAGCATATTTTGTTGACCATAGAGCAAACTACTATCTAAATTTAATAGTTGGCCTTTCTCTTAGGAACTATTGCAACTTTGCTTCTGGGTTTTAGTCTTTAACCACCGTGTATATATATCCATATAATGGGATTTACATAGTGGCATATAGCTAAGGTGCATTTTGTGCTGTTACACATAAGCAATTTAGATGTCAGCTTTCATTTTTCTGCTTGTGTAAATCTCTAGTGATACTGATTCATTTCTGCTCACGGCTGTTTCATTGCACTTTGGACAAATTCTTTACTGTCCATGTTACATGCTGGTGGTAGCCATTTATTGCAGGAGTTGACACAAAAATAAATCCTATAAAAGTCTTGTCTTTTATGATGAGATACACAGTAATTTAAATTTTCCATTTTTTTTTTTAAATTAAAATACTTTTTGCAGTTTCTTACATCCTGTTAATATCTATTATTATGCAGCTGAATGATTTACAAAGCTGTGCTACCCTGGCGTTTTCACCTGTAATCGCTCACACACAATTGGCTGTCACTTCGCTTAGTAATAACGGTGGGTTAATGCAATATACAGTATATAGTCAGTGAGATGATAGATGCTGGGTAATCCCATGAGCTGATTATACACTTGATGTTTAATACGTTTGTGTAGTCATCTGATTTCATTGTCCTTTGCTTCATCTTAGTCTTTCTGAGGGGCATTTGATATGAGTGCAAGGTGCATCTTACTTTGCTAACTTGACCTAAGCTGCCGTTTTGTAAGTTCAAGAAAAGGAAACTTTTGTTCCCAGAAATGTAAACCTGTCCTTTTTAATTTAAAATAATAAAGTAAGGTTTGAAGTGAAAAGGTTTATAACATGATGCAAGTCACAAGATCTGCTTTTTTTTCTTTTTCTGAGTGAAATCCAGTTTTAACTGGCTGATCTTTTCCAAGTCTGGGCTTTCTCTCTTCATTCTCATGCAGATATTCTGTCAATGTCATTCCTTTATTAAGCACAGATTTCTAGGGCTTTAGGTCAACGTGGGATTCTAGCCCAGAAAATGCCAGGCTTCTGTCTCACAGGGATTTGCAGGTCAGGCTGTGCTGGACAGAGCCCTGCTGGGGACTGGCCTTCAGGGAAATATTTCTGCACGGTCTAATCCTCGGCCACTCGATTAACTTCTGCAAAGGTCTGCTGCACGGTGCTTGGAATCAGCCTTTCTTCCCTCTCCAGTCTCATGTGTGTTCCATACTGTCATTCTGGTCATGTTGGGCATTATGGTATTTGATGTGTTTCCCATGCACTTGTTCTTCCTTATTTGCCTACAATGAGCATTACTTAAAAGAAAACAAAAACATAACTTAGCAGAGCTGAATTGGAGATTGGATAGTGTGGAATGACTTCTGCAACCTTCATTTGTACACTTCTTCAAGGGCCAGCCTTTGTGCAAATATGTTACATATATGTAAAAGAGCTTCTTGCACCCTTCACACAAAAATGTAAGATTTCACATAAGTACAGGGTATTCTATATGTAGGCTTTGATCTCCAGATATAATAAACCTCTTATTTTAAGTGAGTTCTTTGTAATTTATGAAAAGCTACTAACAGGGCATAAAATATATATGTGTATATATATATATATATATATATATATATACTTACTTTTATTATAGGAGTGGGCAACTATATGGCAGATGAGGTTTAATTTTGAAAAATTTAAAGTAATGCATTTTGGGGTTAACAGGCAAGCGGAATATACCTTAATGGGAACTCCACTAGGGAAGTTGGAAATGGAAAAAGTAGACCACAGATTGAATAACAGCAAGCAATGTCAGGCTGCAGCAAACAAAGCTAGCAGAGTATGGTCTTGCACTGTAGAGACAAAGCTATAATTTTGCCACTTTTATAGATCTCTGGTTCGGCCTCATCTTGAGTATGCAGCTCAATTTTGGTCACCAATCCACAGAAAAGATGTCCTTGAGCTGGAGAGAGTCCAGAGAAGGGCAGCAAAGCTAAGGGGCTGGAGGACCAAAGCTATGGGACAAGGTTACGAAATTTTAATTTGTTCATGCTGTAAGTGAGGAGATTAAGAGGGAACATGATATTGATGTACAAAATGTTTGATGATGATGGCAACATCAGCAATAAGCTTTTTAGGGTAAACTCCCTAACCACAAGCAGTACCAATTAGATGCCTTCCTCAGAGACCATAACATACACGGGTACAGGTACTCTTAAAAACCAAGACCACACAGGGACTTGTGTAAACACACATATGTGTGTATGTATGTGTATATATATATATATATATATGTATATGTATGTGTGTATGTATGTGTATATATAATTATAAAAAAATTTGTTTTTAATTATAGGTTATTAGATATAAAACCTAGCAAAGAATTTGAGCTGTGCCTAGGAGTGACAGGTCAAAGTTTGGGCAAAGCTCCATTCTTACGAACCACCAGATACCTTTATAATGTATAAGAAACCTAACCTTTTAAAATAGAAGTTTTTTTTCCTCCTAATCTGTAAAAATATATGTATTTTTCTTGCCACTTCCCTTCAACTGGAATAAAAACTTGTGAGTATTGTTTTCCATATCATATGCTTTCCACCAGCATAACTAACTTTTTTAAAAATTCATTTTACATTCATGTTTTTACAAAAGTAATTTTTATCAGCATAATGTTCAGAAGCCACTGAACATATTTCTTTAGAGGCAAAATATTGTTTTGCCTTTGCTGATTATATCCTCTTTCACTAGCTGCTTCCTACACAGACAGCTCAGATGATGAGACTTCTCCGCGGGACAAGCAACAGAAGAACTCCAAGGGTAGCGGTGACTTTTGTGTGAAGAACATCAAGCAGGCCGAATTTGGGAGGCGTGAGATCGAAATTGCAGAGCAAGGTAATGACAATGCTCTAATAAAATGTTAACATGGGGTTTTTGAGTGCTCCCACTGTTTCAAGTTATGCATCTGCAGAAACTCATTGGCTCTTTTGAAAGCCAATATTTGTTGTTGTAATGTTGATGGGGACAAAATTGATGTGTTAAAGCTAGTATTGCCCAATGTACAGCTAGTTTAGTATATAAGGAGCTGGATTTAGTCTTGGCCACAGCACCAAGCAGAGGTATTTGGGCATATTGGAGTGTTAAAAACAAACCTTATGTGTTTCTGTAAATTACGATCACTGCAGCTTTCTTTAAAGAACATGTAAACTTTTTGTGATGACGTTCCTTATTACATTTCTATTTTCATACGTGGATATGAAACGCTGCATATGTGCACACAATGTTAGCTGGTTGACATTTGAAGTTTGTTTTGAAGCCCATTGTTCTATCTAACCAATTACCATTCTATACAAAGCTACACAAAAAATGTTGGTGGTAGTTGGTGCCATGTTAACATCATTTGCTCAGGAATCCACTAGGCCGTCCCTGTATAAATCGGCCTCATAGTCTTTCTGGATCAACAATCCTGATTTGTCGTAATGTGTACATTTGTACAGTCACTCCACTAGTACCACACAGCTTATCCGGTGTCAGTTTTTTACAAACTTATCCAACTTTTATCGCTAGACTGAGTTTCCAGTACAATGCAGCCTAATCATAATAAGTTTGTACATTGTGATTGTATTATGAGTGGTCACCCTGAGGAGCGTGTGATCCTGAAGTTTTCTGTTCACTTGATTCTCCAATTTTTTTTTTCCTGTTTCCCCACTTGCTGTTGTAATGATTTGAGTTTTGTGGACATTTGCTTTGTCAGAGATGCCTGCGCTGATGGCATTACGCAAGAGAGCACAAGGAGAAAAACCATTGGCAGGAGCCAAGATTGTCGGTTGTACTCACATAACCGCACAGACTGCGGTAAGCATGGATTTTTAATTTAATTTGCGCTCTGCAGTTCTCCAGCATTTAGAAAGTATTTTCAAGCAGAGTGGTTAATATTTGAATTGAACCTTGTAGGGTAGTTTTAGATGGACACCTTTTTTAGTAGCACTTCTTTGCATTGTTTTTGCCGGATGTAGCCCACACACTTATTCACATGTATCAGTTCTTCTATTTTTTTTCTTGTATTGTCAATAGGAATGCACTAAAAGCGTGATATGCATTTTTTAGATACTTTTAACTATTGGGGTGTAGAAGCAGGAAAGTGAGGCAGGTAAAACATAACCTGGAGATAGAGGCGTGGATAAGCAAAGAAATGGTGAAGGGACAAGCCACAAATTTCAAGTAGGTACATGTATTAAGTTGTGCAAGACCGTCCTCACATCCAATACACTGTATAGGACGTGATGATTCACACGACCTTAGACCGCCGGATTGAAGGAGGAGGAGAGAGGCTGAAAGGACATGTCTAGGAGCCAGCCGGGATGCTGGTTTAGGTGACAAAATCTGATATTTTAGCAGCCCTTTGCACAGCTGGGGTAGCCCCACTGCAAGGGTTACGATTTAGTTTGACCAGAGTTCTTCAAGTGCTTTAAAATGAAGATACTGCATAAAATGTTTTTAGCATTGGATTTATTATTGCAACAAATCCAACACTGATTATTTTTTGTATGCTGATGCATCTACCTGATGGTAAAATGATTTTTTATTTGCTGTTGTTAATGAGCATTTTCTAATTCTCTAAACAGCCAGTGAACGACATGCTTGGGTGATTTGAAAAATCTCAAACTTTTGCTTTTCTCCAGGTTCTAATTGAGACTTTGGGGGCATTGGGAGCTCAATGTAGATGGGCTGCCTGTAATATCTACTCTACTCTAAATGAAGTGGCTGCTGCCCTGGCTGAGAGTGGTAAGTGATACTGGAGCTCAAAGGAGGAAATTACACTTTGACTACAGAATCCATTGGGGTTTTTTTTTACTTTTATTGTCTTTTAATCTTGACTTTTGGTTTTGTTTTTTAATACAATTCCATCAACATTTCATTCCGGCTTGCTTCCTGAGAGCTTCTAACTGGGAGAAAAACAACCTAACTTGCATTAGTTGTGCTTGTTCCAGGCATAATAACAATCAGTCACGATATAATTGAGATCGTTGTTTAGTAAGGCCAGATAAAAGCCGATTAGATGAAATGCTGCACATAGGTCTTCAACTGCTCTGTATCTCATTCATTTAGTTAACATTCTATATTAAAATATGATAGTTTTGGTATAGGGGAAAAAAATTAAGTTTTACCGGTTATTTAAGTGAAACGCAAGCCAAACATTTTTAATTTTTAGGGACAGAAGTGTTAGAACCTCAGTCAGTGTTTTACCGCTGTCTGTGCTCCTACTTTATAGGTTTACTGTTACTGGAACAGTAAGTGATGGGAAAAATCCCTGTCAAAAGTGGCATTTACCTATTACTTTGATAGACTTTCACTTCTGTGAAGGAAATATGCACAGGAGGAACTTGGAACACAAAATCTTAATTTGAAAATGTTTTGCCTGGAGTTCCACTTTAATGTATTCTAGGTTTGCATCTGTTGATTACTTGAATTCTGGTGTAAAAAAATTAGTCTGATGAGGAAGAGAATGACTGTTGCCCAATAAGGGGACAAATAATTAAACTGGGAATTGGTTAGGGTTTTTTTTTAAATCAAATTGGCTTCCTGTCTTTAAACCCCACTCCAGGCAGCTGTTAAATATACTCAAGCAGTGGTGTCCCCCCACACTGCATAAGTTAAATACTTGTTGGACTCGGGGTAGAGGCGTAAGTACAAATTAAGGATGCACCGATACCGTTTTTTCTGTATGAAGTACTAGTACCGATATTTATATTTTCGTACTCGCCGATACCAAGTACTGATACCGGTGCTTCCGCTAGCATTGAGCCGACTTCCCTGGGCAATCATGGACCGGGACAGCGGGTAATGACATGTCGCCCAGTCATTGATTGGCTGGGAAGCTAGCTTCCCGAGCAATCGGCATCAAGCCGGTCAAATAGCATGGAGTCGGCTTCCTGGCCAATCGGGTAACTAAGTGGCTGGTAATGACTCGATTGGCCAGGAAGCCGCCGCCGCCCAGCTTCGTGGCCAATCGGGAAGCCGCATTCCCGACCAATCAGGAAGCCAGGGGCTGGCTAGTCATTACCCGCCGCCTGGCTTCCTGCTTGGCCAGGAAGACGGCTCCATGTTCCCTCACGGCACTGCTCGTCAGAGGAAATCTGGGCGAGTACTAGTATCGGTGCATCCCTAGTACAAATACTTACCTTATTCTTGCTCCCCCAAGTGCAGGTAAACTTGATCCTACAGATTGCTGGCAAGAATAGGTTGAAATACACGTTTAGCAAGAACTTTCATATAACTGCACAGAGAGGGGAATTATCAAAATCTGGCGCAGCTGTGCATGGCAACCAATCTGCATCTTTCATTTTCAAATCCTAACTGAACAAACTGAAGAGAGAAGCTGATTGCTACTCCAGTTTTGATTAATTCCCTACAGTGTGTTTTTTTTTTTTTTTCCCCCCTTTAGCCAGTCGGTACTCATGTGGTCAATATTGCTTCTATTACCAGGTGTTCCAGTGTTCTCTTGGAAAGGAGAATCTGAAGATGACTTTTGGTGGTGTATTGATCGCTGTGTGAATGTGGAAGGCTGGCAGCCTAACATGGTAAGATTGAGTACATGGAAATAGGCCTTCTCTGTGAAAGTCCTCAAGTGGTCTAACTACGCTGGGCACAGTAGGCACAGCTGTTTCAAGGCTGAATGAATCTTCAGTTTAAAACTTGAACTGAAAAAAATAAAATTGTATGTTACCATAGCTCACCTGCCCAGTGTTCAAATCTTCATCCATTGCTGTAGTGTACCTGTCTACCCCACCCCTTTTCATAATTTTTTTAAATACTTAACCCTGCATCATAAGCTTCTTGAACGTTTCCTGCTGTCTCTCACATACAGAATACCTGTCAGTACTTAGTTCTTCACAGCTCCCAGTCAAATGTCAATTTGGTTTGCACATTTAGTGTAAATGGTAACACAATAATCATAGAGGACTCTATACAACATAGGATGCAGGAAGTCTTCTACCATTGACCTTTTGAGGTGCCGTCTGAATTCTTACCGCAGTGGATTAAGTTAAATTTGGGTTAAGACCAAATAGGTTTACACAAAAAAAATTGTTTATAATTTATCTTAAGAAATTCGGAGTCCCTATGTATTAGTCTCGTACTTGGTTAGTATTCTGATGTTTTTCTGTGTCACGGAATGTAAAGCAGATTATTAAAGTGCATCGGGCAGTCTTGTAAGATTTAGTAGTGCCTATGTGGTTATACATTAATGAATAAACAATCACTACGTGGATGAGAGTTGAGCATTATCCTGGCATGTATGGATCCGCTTTTTACATGCTAATCTCCTTTTTAATATTTTTGCAGTCTGTTATTTTAGTATTTTGTGTCCTGACAGCCCACCATCCCCAGGAGCTGTAAGTTTTTTCTTTGCATGCCTAGATGTTGGTGCTCTACCTTTTTACACCTTACCAAAAACTAGTATAAATCACATCCATCACTGCCTACTTCTATTCCTTTTTATGAAATAATGTAAATGGCACAAAGGAGCATCCATTTTGGTGCACAAAATAGAAGTAGGCTTCCAAGTATCTAGGAAAACAGACCTGGGAAGTTTAGAAGGTGTTTACAGTGCTAAATTACTCTGGGTGCTACTGTTTGCCTTGAAACAGAACATCGATCATCCTGATCGGTCCACAATGGCCTGAGAGACAGAGGTGGAGATCTTTCACTGATCTGTAAGGCTACAGCTAGGAAGTGGGAAGAGCCAGGGGCCCTCCAAGTAGAATTGGCAGTGTTGCCTTGGATACATTGGACAGAAAGGAAGCTTTCAGAGTCCGTAGATGTGCTGTGTAGCATTTTAATGACTACATTAACAGGAAAACAAATCCTACACAACCTATGTAGATCTCATGGTTTGCATCAGTTTTAAGACTCTTAAAGATCCAAAAACTATTTAAGGAGCCAATAAAGAATTCACTCTTTTCTAGTTTACTTTCACTAATTACCATACCAACATGCCTGTAATTTAAAGAGAAACTCAAGGGTTTTTTTTTTTTCTTTACCTTACCTGCAATAAGTGCACGGTGTGTGTTCTTGACTATATTTTCTTACCAAGATATTTTCCTTCACACTCCTGACCGGAAACAAACCCATAAGTCGGGTGGGTGCCGTAGTGACTGCAGATGCCTCCGCTAGTAACATGAAATCGATGAATAGTCACTCGCACTCCAATTTCATACCAAGCCAATTCCTTTATTGACTATAGCAGTTGTACAATCAAGATTGTGACACTACTATAGTCAACAAAGGAATTGGCTTGGTATGAAATTGGAGTGCAAAGGACTATTCATCGATTTCTTTACTATTTTCTGTGACACGGTACTCCTCTCTCTGCATACAGCATTAATTTTAGGTCTCTATTCTGTAAATGGTTTCCTGCAGATTTCCTGGCTGTGTGATGCCCATGGTCAGGCAGCCTCTTCCGGTACAGCCCAGCTATCATAAACATACCCACCTGTTGTTCTAGTAGACTACAGTGGTGACTTAATGATGGTGGAAGCCCTGAGCAGTAACACTAAAGAGGGGAATTTATCAAAAGTGGAGCAGACAAAATCTAGAGCAGTTGCCCGGGGCAACCAATCAGCTTCTCTCTTCAGTTCAGTTAAGATTTGAAAATGACAGAAGCTGATTGGTTGCCATGCACAGCTGCTCCATTTTTGATAAATTCCGTTCAAAACGTTTTGGAATATCAAAGCCCCAATATTCCTTACCATCTCTCTGTCCTAGTATGACAAGATTTCACATGCTTCATCCCACTGTCCACTGCTGGAAAGCATCTGGATGTGTGTTAGGTTTTGGATGCGGCAGTTTGTGTTCACTAACAAATGTTTTTGGCTGTCTCTGCAGATACTGGATGATGGTGGGGATCTGACGCATTGGATATACAAGAAGTATCCAAACATGTTTAAAAAGATTAAAGGCATAGTGGAGGAAAGTGTTACCGGTGTACATCGGTATGTAGAAGACATGTATTTCTAGAAAAGTTATATTTCTGGCTGTTTATTTTACCTACCAGATGATGCTGAAGTTTAGCACTTTGAATTTGATCTGTACAGCTTTGGATATATTGTGCTTATTGTAGAGATACTACTGTAGAATCTAATGGTTTCCATACAAGATATCTGTGTTTGATTACGGTAATATAATAACATGATTCATTTTTATAATGTATATCAGTTAGGCTTTGAGCAAATCTAACCTGAACTGGATCACATTTTTTAGTGTGCTAAAACATATGACTTTATTAAAAAAATATATTTTCACTCCCCCCCGAATGTCAGTGCTGCTAAACTTCTCCTTTTCAGCCACTTCCTGTCTACATGTGATTACTTTAGCATTGGCTTCACATTGTTTTTCTAGAACTGCTTCCTGATGGTGACAACAGTATACCATTACCTGCACAATGTGTCAGTATGGCCGTTTATAGTTTCCATCAGGGGCATGTGACCAGGTGGCAACACAAAAGCAAAATTGGGAGTCAGTTGTCACCCCATAATAGGAAGTGCCTGAACAAGGACCTTCATGGTAGGATCACCAGGTATTGTTTATGAAATCTGCAGATTTGATAACATTGAAAAAAGTGATTTTGAAATCACATTAACGTGTTAAAACTTATATGGGACTTTAGCTATTGGGGTTCGATTTACGTTGCTTGAAAACTGTTTTTTGTTAAACCACGTCCAATCAGTCCCCAGTCCTGTTTATGCTGCGGAAAGGGCAGCATTTGACGGCGTAGGTAATGATTACATTATCTACACTACAACAGGGAGTGGCTACAATAGCAGCACTGCTACCACAATTGAGTGATCACCACCTTAATCGCCGATAGCGCAGAGGAGCGACCACCACAGAGCCAGGAAGGTGCAATTAGTAATGCCTGTTTTTAAGCCATGCGTACTTTTACGCTACACTCATTGTGCATTTCTAATCTGTCCTTTGCCCATGTATGCTGTGAAGTAGTTTGCATTGTGACATTAAAGGACAAAGTGGTTAAGCCTTGGCTGATTATATAGAAATGTTACTGAATTAGATTTTTGTGCTCACACAAGTTTCTTTTACAGCTTGTACCAGTTGTCTAAAGCCGGAAAGCTGTGTGTTCCTGCCATGAATGTTAATGATTCTGTTACCAAACAGAAGTTTGACAATTTGTACTGCTGTCGGGAGTCCATCCTAGATGGGTAAGAATGAACGAATTCTGCAGCATGGTAATGTGCAAGAGCAATGCTTTGTAACCACAACAACTACAAATATTGCGGCTTTGCCTAACGTGAACTAGAAGCTTGTTACTAACCAGTTTGTAATTGGGGGTTACTGCCTGATTTCTCTCCCGTTCATTGAAGGACACAGGCAACAGATCGTAGATCCTGAATGGTAGGGTAATATCGCCACCTGCAGGAGAAGGACGCTAGGCACAAAACTAAAGACCAATTACAGCCTAGGGGCGGCCCCTGCCGGTGGCCAAACCCCCCACCTGCTGACAAATCTCCAGTTTTTTGCCTAGCGTCAGGAGTAAGGAGCTAAAAAAATTTCTCTGGATATTTTTTCCCTTTCTTCCGATTGGATTCGTTCTTCTTCTAGCAAGTGTCCCCAGGGCGACAGGCTGGATGATTGTAGATCCTTGTAGTCTCCCCTGGGTGACCAACGAGCGCATGCAGACTCTGCCACGGTGGGTCGGCTGCGACATGTGGTCCCCTGTTGACACCTCTGGGCTCGTCCCAGGGGGGGACTTCTTACTGGGGGTCTTGGCCTCCCTGTCATGGCGCTCCCTGTAGGCTGAAGACGTCGCGGCTGCGGTCGAGGACGTCTTTTCCTGCCGCATTCATGCGAATCCGGGTTCCTGTGGATATGGTCTGGCCTGCCGTTCGCATAGGTATGGGGGTCTGCGGTGGATTTTTCGGGGGACCGGATGCTCAGGTAAGCTTGGGGGCTGCGCGGTCTCTGCGCTGCGGCAGCCCCTTGTACCCCCCCTCCCTCATGGCCGGATGGGCCGGTGATTCGGGGGGAGGTGGGTGGTACCGCGATACCGCACTGTCCCGGAAGCTTTTTCCTCTGTCATGGATGGTTTTGGGCAACGCATGGCGCGCCTTGATGCAGCGCCCACCTAGGAAGCGGGCCCTGCCTTTGCTGTCCCCTGCCTTGTCGGTGGAGTCCGAGGAGGAGGGGGAACTGCCCACGCCATCGCCTCATCCTGATCCGGGTGATTCCTCACACCCTGATTCTGCCAGTGAGGATGAGGCTGCGTCTACGCTCCGGGTCCAGGAACGTGAGACGTTTTCAGCGCTGGTCCGCGCTGTTAGGGAGACCCTTGAAATTAAGGACGTTGCCAGCACTTCCGCGCTGCTGCAAGTGTCGTTTGGGGCGCATAAGTGTAGGCGTTCCGCCAAGGTGTTTCCTTACATCTCCTCCTTTTTTTGCTGAATTAATTTATAAGGAGTGGAAACGGCCTTCCAAGTCCTTTTGCGGTTCCGAAGCGGTTCTCGGTTTGCTACACCTTCGAGGAGGACTTTGTGTCTAAGTGGTCTGTCTCGGGCGCTCTCATGCGTCCGGTCTTGGCTTCGGCCTTGGTCTTTCAGACTCTAACTGAGTGGGCTACAATGTTCCATCAGGGTCTTGCGGAGGGGAACGTCTCCCCCGCCTTTGTGGAATCGCGGACCAGTTGGTTCAGGGCCTTCGTTATGTCTGTAATTCGGCCTTGGATGCGGCACCCTTGGTGTCCAGGGTGTCGATGTCAGCGGTGGCGCGTCGCCGTTTGCTCTGGCTTAAGTGTTGGTCCGCGGACCAGGCTTCCAAGAAGGCTCTTCCAGGGTTGCCCTTTACTGGGGACCGTCTGTTTGGTTCCACCTTGGATGAGATCATTAAGGATCTGACGGGGGGTAAGAGTACCTTCCTTCCCCAGGCGCGCAAGAAGGAACAAATTGTGCCTGTTCCCTCCGCGGATAGGTTCCAAGGGTTTTATCGAACCTGTTTACTGTGCCCAAGAAATAAGGGGTGCGGCCCTTCCTGGACCTCAAACGCTTGAACACCTTTGTGCGGGTCCGTCGGTTCCAGGTGGAGTCCATCCGGTCCGTGGTGGCATGGCTCCGTCAAGGGGATCTGCTGGCTTCCATCGCTATCTGGGCTGCATACCTTTTTATGTACCCATTTGCGAGTCATCAGCGATATCTTCGTTTCGCGGTGGGGGAGGACCACTTTCAGTTTGTGGCGCTGCCCTTCGGGCTGGCGTCGGCCCCACGTGTGTTCACCAAGGTGCTAGCCCCGATTCTGGCGCTGTTGCGTTGTCGGGGGGTTTCGATCGTGGGGTACCTGGACGATCTGCTCCTACGGGCAGAGTCGCATTCTTCCATGGTGACGGCTCTGGGGATCACTGTGCGGTCCTTGGAGGAGTTCGGGTGGCTTCTGAATCTGCGAAAGTCTTGCCTGGTGCCTTCACCATGCCTGGAGTATCTGGGTTTGGTTCTGGACACTGTCGCGGCCCGGATCTTTCTTCCCCGGGACAAGCTCCTGAAGCTCCGTTCCAAGGTCCGGCTACTGAGGACTCGCCAGTGGTCGCCCATTCGGGTTTGCATGCGGGTCCTGGGTCTCATGGTGGCCTCCTTCGAGACGGTGCCTTTTGCGCAACACCATACCAGGATCCTGCAGAGGAACATCCTGGCACAGTGGGACAAGTCCCCCCTGTCCTTGGACAGGGAGATTCGGATCTCTCGGGAGGCAGGAGCCTCCCTGCGGTGGTGGCTTCAATCTCCGTGCTTGGTGCGGGGGAAGTCTTTTCTTCCAGTGCATTGGACGGTGGTCACCACGGACGCCAGCCTTTGGGGCTGGGGCGGGATCTTGGGCTCCTTGACCGTGCAGGGTCGTTGGTCGCCGGAAGAGTCCCGTCTGTCGATTAAATGTGTTGGAACTTCGGGCGATTCGCCTCTTTCTCCTTCATTGGTCGGCCCGGCTCCAGGGTCTGGCGGTCCGGGTCCAGTCGGACAACGCCACTGCGGTGGCGTACATCGACCACCAGGGCGGCACAAAAAGCGTGGCCGCGGGTCGAGAGGTGTTCGGGATTCTGTCCTGGGCGGAACATCAAGCTCTGGCTCTCTCGGCGGTATTCATCCCGGGAGTGGACAATTGGCAGGCCGATTACCTCAGTCGACAGTCGGTGGATCCGGGGAGTGGTCTCTGCACCCGGAGGTTTTTCAGCAGCTCTGTCGTCGCTGGGGCACGCCGGAGGTGGATCTTCTGGCGTCTCGGTTCAACCGCAAGGTGGACAGGTTTGTGGCCCGGGCCCTGGATCCCTGGGCGGAGGCCGTGGATGCCCTGGTGGCCCCTTGGGGTCATTACGGTCTACTTTACGTCTTGCCTCCACTTTATCTGTTGCCTCGGCGGCTGCGTCAGATCGCGGTCGACGGCGTCACTGTGTGCAAATGGAAAAATGGCAGGAAGATAAGCTGTATATTGTTTGTTTTGTGTCTGCTAATCATATTGTAAAGTAATTATCGCTCAAGCCAGATTAATGAGTAACGGGTATAAAAAAAAAAAAATACTTTGGTTGAAGGCATGGTAACCTTAGTCTTGTATTTTTTCTACACAATGACCTTTTGTTAATAACATAACTTTTCACCAGCAAAAAAGGTATTTGCTTAAATGTAGTGCTAGTATGTTTTTTCTCACATTTCAAATCCTTAACAGTTTGTCCTCGTCACTGAGTTGGACATTTAACACTGCAAATGCAGCAACAGTTTTTATTTTTAACCCCTTAAGGACGGAGGCAATTTTCCAAGTTCTGAACGTAAACAATATAGAATTTGATCTATATATCTGTTCAACCATAATTTACCTCTTTCACATTAAGTGCCCCCACACTTATTATATATTGTTTTTTAGATTACAAAAAAGGCTTCTGTTTGACTATATATATATATATATATATATATATATAGAAATAAAATAAACAAGTTACGAGAAATTAAGACATTTTTAATTTTTTTCCATGCGCACGCACATTTACTGCAATTAAACTACAATGCCCACCATGTACAGGTTTTCTGAGATTTTGGGTTGTTACAGACCAAAATATGGGGCCTGCTGATTAACATGAAAATTTGATAAATTGATTTTCTGGGTAGATGTCGAATTTATGGCAGGTAGGGACAGCCCAAGAAAGAAAACTACCCCCATGAAGGCAAACCATTTGCAAAAGTAGACAACCCAGGGTATTGCAGGATATGGATTTCATGGGTTTAAGGGTATGAGCTTAGCGTTTGGTCTTAAGATGCACGTTAAGCATTCAAGGTATGGGTCCAGGATATAGTACTGGGGTGTGGGCTAAATCTTAAGGCTTAATGTACATATTTAGCATATAAGGGTTTGGGGTATGGATTTAAAGGGGTCAAGGTTTTGAACTTAAGAAGCGGTTGAGGTTAAGGCGTTCCTGGTATGGGTTTGAAGTGGTACGATTTTATTGGTTTAGCTTGTGTTTGGAGTATAGTTGAAAAAACGGGAAAAGAAAGCTCGCTGTGACATCAGTAGAAACCAACACTGGATTCCTTGGGCTTGTAACTATGCGATTACGACATAACACCAAAGGTAAGTTGGGGGGGTTCTATTTGAGAGGGTGAAGTTCCTCTAACTTTTGTGTGGCCCACATATCCGTGATTTATTTATGTAGCTTCCCTAATGTATAAAGATTATGAAGGAAAATGTATTTATTGTAGAATTTTCTTTTTGCAGTCTTAAAAGGACAACAGACATGATGTTTGGAGGGAAGCAGGTGGTGGTGTGTGGCTATGGCGAGGTGGGTGCTCTGGCAAAAAGTTGTCACTTGGCATTTACGTTGTATTTTAGTAAACCAGTTGTCATTTGAGCAGAACATACATAATATAAACTAGTAAAATCTGATTTAGAATGCAATGTGTTAACCAATAAAATTTCACTTTATTTTTAAAAAAATTTACCTGGTGATATTTTGTTCTAGGTGGGTAAAGGATGTTGTGCAGCCCTTAAGGCCATGGGCTCCATTGTCTATGTGACTGAAATTGATCCAATCTGTGCACTTCAAGCATGGTAAGCAGTATGTGTTTGGCCATCAGGTTCTTGGGCCATTGTGGAAACCATGATACAGTAGATACCAAGTGTGATGTAGCATACTAATAGCTGTTCTACCGTCTATGTTTTCTAGTATGGATGGCTTTAGGCTTGTGAAGTTGAATGAGGTCATCAGACAGGTGGATATTGTCATCACCTGCACAGGTAACATGGCTTTAGCTGTTTATTGAATAACAATTGTCTATTTTCTACAGCTTAACACAACTTCTCTATGAAGAGTTTCAGCTATCCCAGTTAGTTGTTTTTTTTAGTTCTGCTGCCCCAAGGTTTATATCCATGTTATCCATGTTTTTAGGGCCTTGCTGTGATGTCTACTGTGTTGGTGATAGGAAGTAGGGCAGGTTAAGGATGCTGGCTAAAAAGACCACCTTAAATATGCTAAGGGGATTACTAGTTCCTAATATAATCAAATTAATTTATGTTTGAGGTACTTGTATTCAGGAAAAATATCAGAATATATTTAATACAAATATTTCCTTTTCCAGTGGTATTAACCTCTTGCCGTCCGCCCGTAGTAAAAAAACGGACGGACGGCACTGCTGCATCTGCGGGTTGCCGTCTCCAGACTGCAATTTTTTTCTGCTCGCGCGCGCCCCCTAGCGGGCACGCACGGGCAGAAAAGACCCGATCAATGCACACACCCGTTACCGGGTGTTTCACATATAGGCGATCAGCGGGTCCATAGCCCGCCGATCGCCTATATGTGCTCGTTCGCGGCACATATTTTTTTTTTCCCCCCCTGCCCCCTCACCTTGATTCCCGGGATCCGCTGCCCCATCTTGGATCCCGGGACCGGCTCCGAGGGTGTCAGGAGGAGGAGGACGGGAGATCAGCTCCTTGCTGATCCCCGTCCGGGCTGTGGCTGTGTCCGGGCTGTGAATGCAGAAGTGATGTGTATTACATCACAGTCATCTGGAGAGAGAAGAAGCTGATAAAGCAGATCTCTGCTTTATCAGCTTCTTTTGGGGTCCAATGGGAAGGGGGTTTAACACCGCGGATGTCAACTGGTTAAAAATAGGATCCATTAACACAATAGTGAGTTATTAAACATTGTCTGCTTAGATTAAATTGTGTTTTGTTTCAGTATAAATTAAAATACTTTAAAGTTGAGCTGATATCAAAACTGCAGAGTTCGCTCTGATGAATTTCCATTTACCACTGGATATTAAAGGGATCGATGAGTTTCAATCATAGTGTGCGGAGTAATAGAGCCTTTATTACTCCGGAGTAAACAGAGCCTTTTCTAAGAACATTTTTTCAGTCTTAAAATATTTTATAAATTATACCTGTGTGCACACCACAGCTATATAAAAGGCACCCTCTGCTGCGTTTTTTTTAAAAAAGCTCTTGCCCACCAGACCAGTGTGCCTTTGGAGACCCATATAAAAATAAACTTTTTGGTTTTTTTTTCTCTACCCTGCAATGCAGTGTTCTGTTCCTATGTGATGTATCACTAGGCCAAAGGTCAGTCACACATAGAGGGCACGTCTAGCAAGTATGCAGATGCCAGCTTTGTTGAAGTCTATATTTGCATTGTATGTTTGGGGAGCTGCATCAGCACACTGAGACAAAGTGGGCAGCGCCAGAGGGGCCCTTCTGTTCAGCTGCAGTACTGTTCATACCTTTTAAAACAGTTTGCGAGTGTAGATTAAATATTAGCCTGAATAATATTGCTGGTTTAAATTTTATGTGTCTGAAAGCAAATAGGTATACTTTGTAGTATTTAGCCTGTGAAAGAATGTTCACATTCTAATACTCTGCAATGTTCAGGTAACAAGAATGTGGTGACCAGAGAGCATCTAGATCGTATGAAGAATGGCTGTATTGTCTGCAATATGGGGCATTCCAACACTGAAATAGACGTGGTAAGTCAGACTCCTATCATATATTGGGGAAACCATGCCTAATATGTGCCCAAATGTCACCCAACATTTTTCTGCTAGAGCAGGTATTTATCATAGATTCTTCTTAATTACTGTCTTCCATGGTTGTTTAAACCCGAAATATTGGTTTATAAGCAAACCTACACTTATAGCATGTTTCCACCTTTTGGAGAGATATTTTTCTTAAAACATGCCAGCAATGTACAGAGTAAAAATGTGCGCACATATACATCATCATTGCACCTCTGCAGAACCACAATAAATGCTAATTACTTACAAAGGTGGAAATGGACTTTAAGCTTTGTTCTGTTCTTTCCTCACTTTATGCAGATTATCCCCCCATTTCCCCAAGGCAAGTCTGCGCACTCCTGAGCTGACATGGGAGCGAGTTAGGTCTCAGGTTGATCATGTTATTTGGCCTGATGGGAAAAGGATCGTTCTTTTGGCAGAGGTATGAAGCATACACTTGCTATTAATGTATTCCATTAAGTTAAACAACCTCTGCATATGAAATCTTCAGTAAAAACTGTGCACATGTGTAAAATTAACCAAAATTTTTCCAACAACTTATAACTTATCATAAAACAAAATATATTTTTTTCCTGCAAATTTTTGACTAATTGATATTTCTGCAACAAAGCATGGTGACCATTAGGGTTGCACCGATACCGTTTTTTCTATATCGAGTATGAGTAACGATTATTTTTGTCTGGTATTCGCAAATACCGATACCGGAAGTCCCATTAGAAAGTAATGACTCGCCACCTGGCATCCTGACTAGCCAGGATCTTGGGCAGTTTGAAATGACTCGCTGCCCGGCTTCCCGGTTAGCCAGCTCCATGCTCCCTCGTCACCAGGTGACTAGGGAGCATGGAGTCAGCTTCCTGGCAAATGAGGATGCTGAGGGGCTGGGTAATGTGTCGCCACCTGGCTTCCTGACTGGCCAGCTTCCCAACCAATCAGGAAGACGGGCAGTGAGTCATTACATGCTGTCTGGCTTCCTGATTGGCCGCAAAGCCGGCTCAGTGCTCCCTGGTGACGAGGGAGCATGGAGCTGGCTTCCTGTTACCGGAAGTTTCGTTATCGGGAATAAGTATCTGAAACATTTGGGGGAGTACGAGTACTTGTCCCAATACTAGTATTGGGATGGGTACATCCCCAGTGAGAATATTTACTAATGAACTAAAGGCTTTCTTGGAATTGTGTATTTTTGTTTTAATTGAGCACAGCAAACAAAATGAGCCGAGTTGCTCAGTGCTACAGATACGCAGAGCAGGACCCTACAGATGGTGTAATCTGCAGGTCTATCTGTTCGTTTGACAGAGGTCCTGCTTCATGCACTAGGACCCCTAAAGGGTTAAACTGTTAGCTAAGCACAGGCCCCTCTCCCCCTTATTTATTTTCTGTATAGTATTATACAGGTGTTTTGTTTGTGCCATTAGACTATATGTGGCTCTTAGTCTGGAAAACTACCACATTTATGTTAATGTGACAGGTTAATGTGTACCCAATTTAAATTATATTGGAAAATGATGCCAATCTCATAGTGTCTCCTTAAATTGTGTAACAGGGACGTCTCCTTAACCTGAGCTGTTCTACTGTCCCAACATTTGTTCTATCTATTACTGCGACCACACAGGTAAGGTACCTTTATCGTACATCTGCACACACATTTGTTCACATGAAGTCTTTGTACACATCTTTAGATTTGAATGGCTGTAACATTCCTTATGATAAAAAAGTTTGTAAAAAGAAAATACCATTGCAGAAAGGGCTTAGTTTGCGACATGCCTCAAGGGATTTTGGTATATGCGGCTCTTCCCCACTACTGCTGGATGCCTTATTTTGCGTCATATTCAGTATACAGTTCAGTACAATTAATGTAATCATTAGAAATCTTCAGAGCCCTGTGAAGTTTTCACAGCTAAAGATGTTCATGGGCTAATGGTTTAAGGATGGGTGGGGTTCAAAATCGTTTAACTGCGTACAATGCAGCCATTTCTTTTCAGTGCAAACAGTAAAATTAATTTTGCTATTCCACCAAAATATTTTTGTACGCACCAGCAGAGTTTTTTTAATTTTCCTAGCGAATATTGTAACATTCTAACAGGTTCCAGGCAGGTATAAAAAAAAAAAAAAAAAAAAACATTATACATAGATAATCACACACTTATAATTGAACTCTTTATTGCAGCTCAATGGTACCTGAATTTTTTGAATACTTGTTTTCCCAAGACTAGGAGGTGACAGTCCTATGGGCTCAGTCTGTTTAGCATTCACAGACAGTGTGACAGAAGGAGAAACGAGAGTGGGCAGATAGGTGACCTCATCAGTTACTCATCATTGGCTTCTATGAAGCCCATTACAGGAGGATTTAGGGAGGTGTTCTTGTGATGGTCACATTGAGCTGGAACCCTGCCTCATGGCTCTAAAGTTAGTTCTTGCTTTTCTATTCACTGGCATTGCAGAGTGTATTATAAGAAAACTATGGTTAAACCTTTTTTGGCGTTCTCTTCAGAGTCACAGAAGGACATTTAATGATGTCCTCCTGTGACCCAAAACTCAGTATATAGAGGGCTTATTGCCCACTATATGGTGACAGTGCAGAGCTGTGGGATCCACCCCACCAGATAGGCAGCGCCAGCGGTCACTACTATGTGCAGGGAGAAGGTCGCGAATTGAGCTATCAGCGGTATGTGATCGCTCAGTTCTCGATCTATAGAGTCGATATGTGACTGCTGTAGTGTCACACGTCGGCTTTAACTATAAGGATGAGTGCATTTTACTCTCCCCATAGTTTTTTCCTTTAATGCAGCTCTAGCATAGAAACTATGAAGAATACAACTGTTCTGTCAAAAAAAAATGCAGAATGTTTTTGTAAAATATGATTGGGGTTTTCTAGGTTAATATTTCACCAGGTACACTGCATCCTTTGATGGTGATTGTGTGAGTTTACTCTGAGTGCCAATGCTTCTTCCCACAATCCAGAAACATGCTGGTCGGTTAAATTGGCATTTGACCTGTTTAGCACACGAGCATGTATTGCCATATTTTAATGACAAGTAGCAATTTTAGATTTAAAGCTCCTCCTGGAGTAATTTAAAGTTATATAGAATATGTTGGTTCTATAGCGATACCGAAAATAAATCTGTGTCTATTCTCAGGCATTGGCTCTGATTGAACTCTACAATGCCCCAGAGGGTCGCTATAAACAGGATGTCTACCTGTTGCCTAAGAAGATGGGTGAGTCTCGTGAAAATGACATGTTTGTTAATCTGTTGCTTAGCAGTGCAAATGATGTATATAATAAACCATTTTCATTCTCGTGTTTATTTTCTCTTAATGGATGCAATCTCTGTCCTGTAGATGAATATGTGGCCAGCCTTCATCTTCCCACTTTTGATGCCCACCTCACTGAGCTATCAGATGAGCAGGCCAAGTATCTGGGTCTGAACAAGAATGGACCTTTCAAACCAAATTACTACAGGTATGTACACTCGTATGGCAGCATGCTCACAACAATGCTTATTTGGAAAATGTGCTTTGTTGTGAATGGGCCTAATTTTTACAAACAATAGAAGATCTTTGTACAGTACTGTAAGGCTGGGTTTAATGGTTTGATATTCACTACAGTAAGTAATCAATTCAAAATACTAAATTCAAAATACTTTGGTTTTTTTAACATATCGCATAGGTGTAAAGCTTACCTTTAAAACAAACCCTCACTGACCACTGTAGCTGCTGCAACTGCAGAGTAATTTATCTTTGGTTAACAGCAAAAAGCACTTTCATTTCTGAAAGTCGTCTTGCCCTCCCCCCACCCCTATCAGAAGTCATTTGGCAGCCAGCCACCCTCATAATCTAATGCATATCTAATCTATAATGTTAACAGAGAGCACAGTGTTGAGACCCAACTTGAAGGTCGTGCTTCTCCTGTGGACTTTGAGGATGAATAACTCCACCTTGTCTGTAGTTATGGAGATCAGTGAGCTCTTGTTTTTAGGCTCATTTACTGCTTAAGAATATGTACATTTCGGAAGGTCTATAGCCTCTCCACAGTTCTGCTTTAATCTACAGCAGTGGTGAAAAAATCACCTGTAATCCTGTTACCCACAATCTTGTTTTTTTTTTTAAAAACACACCTGCATGTGTACTTGTTTTTTTACTAGAATGTCAGTATAACCTTCCTGGCGGTAATCCAGAGTGTGGCTCGGGGTTAATTTTCATTACCAAAGCGGTAACCCCGAGCCACATTCGGGATTGCACTGTAGC